CACACACACACACACACACACACACACACACACACACAAAGAATAGAAAGAAATATTGTACTGGTTGCCACAAAAGTTTTATTGACACTACTTGCATTGCTTTTTTCATCATCCCCAAAGCTGAAGAAACACCTGTGAAGCTGTGCCCTGGAGACACTACAATTTCCTTCCTTCCCCATGTCACACACTGGGGACAGACCACATGGCACACTCTTCCTATAGTTAAAATTGGGTTTTTCTACCAAGAGCACCATAGCTTCACTGCAGGATTCTTCCAAAATTTAAATAAAAAATAAAGCTGCTGTGATACAAGGAGCACAAGAAAAGCCCAGGGGACACAGGTCAGCATTGCCATGACTCCAAAAGCAGACTATAACATCACAAGAAAAACACAGCACTAGCCACATGGATTTGGGTTTAAAAGTGGTAATCTTTAGGCAACTGGAATGTAAATATATAAACATGCACCACCATCAAGTAGAAATTGTTCAAGGAATGAATGCAAGGCTAGCCTGACACTTACTTTTAAAATTAATATACATATATTTTTAAAAACTTTCAGGAGCACAATAGGAGGGGGGCATTTATGAACACATCTCCTGTGGGCCTCACCCTTGATAAGGAAGAGCAACGATTTCCCCCTCATTCTGGGACCTGGCCTGGGTGGTGTGTCGTCACGTCACTTTCATCAGTGTTGTTCTGGGTTGCATAGCCAGTGTGGAAAAGCAAGAAAAACAGCAGGTAGACAGATTGGAAAGAAGGAAAATTCTGTGAAGATGGCATAATGATTTATGTAGAAATCTAAGAAAAAAAATCCCACAAGAAATAGGTTCAACAAGATTACTGGATACCGTGTCAGTATAAAATGAATTATATAATAACAATGGACAATGAGAAATCAAAATTATTAGGCTAGGAATGCCATTCAGTTGGTCCAGGGCTTGCCTAATATGCACGAAACCCTGAGCTTGATCCCTAGCACTATCTAAACTGGATGTAGTGGCCCATGCCTGTGATCCCAGCACCAAGGAGTGGAGACAGGAGGACCAGGTCAAGACCACCCGAAACTATGCAGTAAGTCATGTGTCAGTAACTTAATTCTCAAATTGTTTCTCTAAAAACATATTTGGGCTACAAAGGTAACAGGTTAGAGCATTTATAGCGTATACATGAAGACCCAAGTTCATGTTTCTTGAACACAGTTAAAAAGCTAGGCGTGCCCATGTGTGTGCCGGTGACAATGCAGTTGGGGTGATTGGACAGAGTTGGGGATCACTGTGACTTGCTTGTAGTAAGACACTGTCTCCACATGGAGAGTGATAGAACAAAGCACTTCATTATGTCCCTTCTGGCCTCTGCCCACACACTAGTACTGCACGCATGCATGCAGGATACACGTGTCCAAGAAGGAGCAATGAACTGACTGTGACAGCATGTTAATAACAGGTGGAATGAACAGTGTGTGGCAGAGCTGTAGTTTCCATGTTTTCTTTGTGAAATAAAAATTAAACACTTTAAGTTCTTTTAAAATTGCTTAAGAATTTTAAAAATAAGGGACTGGAGAGATGGCTCATTGACTAAGAGCACTGGCTCCTCTCCCAGAGGTTCTGAGTTCAATTCCCAGCAACCACATGGTGGCTCACGGCCATCTATAGTGGCATCTGATGCCCTTTTTTGGAATAAGGTTGTGTATGCAGATATAGCACTCAAGAATCAAATAAATAAATAAATAAATAAATCTTTAAAACAGAAGTCAAATCAATCACCTTTTGTCAATTTGCAATTGTGACAATTTTTGCCTCTGACTCCTCTCTTTGTAAAACATTTTGTGGATATTCACTATGTGTTGGTGTAAAATGAATTCAGAGAAACTCCTGCTTGCATGTATGGACACTTGAGTTTACTGTGACAGTCTCTTGCAACCCAGGCCAGGCACTTGAAAGTTGAGGGGATTGGGAGAACACTTGGTGGCTGTGACAGTGACTGCAGGAGAGCTGAGGGTCAAGATGTTAGCAGCAGAGCTATCGGGACCATGGTAGGACACAGCAGCTTTATTTTGTTTTTAACCAAGAAACTTGACTGAAGCAGTCCCCACCCACACCTGGTTAAACA